AATTCATGGTTAGATAGTATATAAAGAAGAAAAATTGAGGCCTTCTTCACTCTTATAAATATATTTTTTGTTATTAGTCTTATTTTTATAGTTTCTAGTCTTCATATCTTTGGCAATAGCTATTCTAGTTTTAATACTATAACATCTTTGAGTATTTATTCACTCTTTTCTTGTGACACAAGAATATATTGATATTTTGATTATTTGTAATCCATGTCCTTGATATCTCCATCTATATATATTGTTTATTTTTTTAAAGATAAATAATCTATTGGCTTAGTAGAAATAATAAAAAAATAAAAAAATAAACCACATGAAATTCATATTTGTAGTGGTTATGGCTTATAGTTTCAAACAAAAGAATAATGTGGCTCAATTTTTAGTCCATGTTTCAATGATAGCTCTTTTTAAGATTCTTGTCCATTATATATTGATTATTTTTGAAGTGATAAAGATGTAAGATAGAAATTAAGAACTTAAAAACTTACCAATGTCAAATGTCATTTATTCTACTAAACTTATAACTTTCTTTTGAATAATATATGAGGGTAAATTTCACCCTTCAACTCAGATTATAAGATGGCTTTAATTAAGATTTTTTTGTAATTAATAATGAAAAGTGTGTCAATCAAATAACAAGAAAAAAAAAAGAAAAAATACAAAATAAGTGTCAAGAATGTAATTAAGCAATTACACACTACAAACTTAGTCTTTATTTTTTTATTAGATTTTTTTATCTATTAAAAAATAAAATTAAAAAATAATATTAATATTTTTAGATAGATAATTTTATTATTTTTTTGGTGAAATGAGAAATATATAAATTTAAGTTATTATGAGTAAATAATGAAGATTTAAAATAAATATTATAAAAAATAAGTAAATAAATTTTATTTAATTAATTTAATAGATTACAAGTTTAAGATTCACCAAGGTTTATAAGTAATATACATGGATATTATAAAAAGGCCATGAGGGCTTAGTATTATTCTCCTACTTATATCTTAGGTGCTACAACCCATATGAGACTTGTATACCTTACTATTTATAAAGACTACATTAGGTACTAGTCTTCCTATTTTATACTTGTAAAATTAATTCTTTAATAATTTTGACTTTGCTATGGTATTTAAAGACATCCAATTAGCTTAAAAATCTAGAAGATAGCCTTGCTGACTTACAT